CCATTTTTGGGTACCCATAAATTGGAAACCGCCCATATGTTTAATCTGACGGTAATTGAGGATGACCATCTGAAATTCACAATCACTCTGGTACCCTCCAGTCAAACATGTCGTGCTGGAAAATTACCAATCTTTTGTCGATGACTTTTCCATCAGAACCTGCATTTACGGGGAATTTTCCAGCTTGCCATGTTTGATGACACCGGAGGGTAACAAATCTGAAGAGAGCACACTGTGATGGCGGGGGCAGCGCCACCTTAGCTCCAAAAAAGAACAAAAAATCTGCTACGGAACAGTCCAATCATCCAGTCGTGTCGAGCCAGTCGAAATCACTACACTATTCCAAGTCGCTGGCACTCCCGTCGTCACTCCCAGGCCTCACCGGAGATAGGATGGGGAACCATGGCCATCGCCCATTGTGGCTATAGCGGCTATGTCGTGAACTCAGGGCTGCACAAACACCTGTGAAGTACACTGCGTAGTTGTAGGACGGCGTTTTCCTTGAAGACCAGGTAACTAGGACTAGCACAAAGAAACTTTGGGAAATCGTCACGTACTGAAATAATGACAAATGCATCTCGGTGTGTCTGACAAATTATGGGAAAACCACCAAAATCAAGATCATCATTGTTCCAGATTAGAGTAGTAATTACATGTAATTACCCCAATTTCAGACACATCCACGTTACAATTTGGCTCAGTTTCAGACTGCAAGCCAGCTGGATAAGTCCAGCCTTGAAAACACATACAAAAGATCTCTGAATATCTCTGGTAAATTGTGACATAGCTATGGCAGCTATGATGTAGGCCCATTTAGTTCGATGATTTGCCTATCAAAAACATCTAAAAACAATCAAAAACGGTGAGTTTACATAGGAACACCAGGAAAACTGTTAAATTACCAGAAGGTAATCTCTGTCTCTCTGCCACTTGCATCCACTTTCCGTCCGTAAGAACAGCACAAAGAAGCGTCGCAAAAGCTAGTTGATACGCAGGCACCTCAGGCAATTGCATCGGCACCAATATGCACCAATCTAATCATCATACTTATTACAGTATCAGTATCTTACATAAACACACCATGTAAAATCAGGAATGACGCCTAAACACCTTAAACTGGGAGGCTTACAAAGACCGTACTGGATGTCATCCATGCATCTACGAAGTCATCGACCTCGTATCATCCACTGGAGCGTCCATGATGGCCATGTTCGAATGGCCGGCCATGACCAGCCCAAGCTTCCCACCGAGATATACACGTGCAGCCTCAGCGATTCCCCAATGCTCCTGTATGGAATATTTACCAACATTTATTGAATAAATTGTGCTCTGCTGGGTTGCCAGCAACAAGAGCGCCAATGCCACCCCGACCACCTTAACAAAAAATCAGAACGTTTGTCCACCGTCGGCCACTGTGGTCAAGCTGGTCTACTGCAAACCCGCACTGCTTGCATTGTCAGACGGTTAGGGATCGAGCAAGGTCAATTGGTGAGTGCATGCCCAGGTATATCCGGCCATGCCTCCAATACCATGGGTGGTGGCCCGTCGTATTTTTAAGCACGCCCTGCCCCCCCCCCTCCCCTGCAAAACTGGTGCTGAGGAGTATGCATCATAAAGCAGCACCAAACTATGTTCAGGATAAAAAGCCTTGCACTTGGAATGGCCCACCAATCAGATCCAGAAAACACATAGTTTCAAGTTTCTGAACTGCAAATGAATTGAGTAGCAAACCCCAGAAGCCATGGAGACCTGACAGACTGAGCGGTCTGAAAGGATCAGAAATGGTCACCTTGCAATTGAATCAGCGGTATTCGAGGATATTTATTTTCTTTATGGTATCTAAAGAATTTCTAAAGATGGTTAAGGAGTAAGAAACGAACATGTTCATTGAAAAACACGTAAAAAAATGTGAAACATACGTGTTTCAACCGTGTTTCCATATATTTTCCATATCCCCCGGCCTCAGCGTGCGCAAATACACGGAGAAGCCATCGCCATGGCCTGTCTTTTTTCAAGAACCGCTGGATCTGGTCCCTGTTCCAAGATGTTCCAAGATGTTCCAGGGCCACCGGCTGGAAGAACTGGTGTAGTAATAGAAGATGTAACTCCACCTGCTGATATATCACGAGTGATGAGAAGTGGATAATTATGGATAATTTATCCATGATAAGACATGATCCATGATAAGACATGATTTTCCATGATAAGACCTGATAAGATCATTAAACTGCATAAGACATGATAAGACACCACATGAAGAAGAGCATAGATGTGCTAAGCATCCAACATGCAGAGTGTGTTGATGGTGTGAGTGCCTCACAAGGAGCCATTGATCATCAGTTGATCATCACGTCATTGATTGATCGTTGATCGATCATTGATTGATCGTTGATGATGACTTCGAAATCCAACTTATAGATCAGATAATGATCAGATCATCCAGATACATCCAGATACATCCAGATACATCCAGATCGTTTCTGGGCGCACTTGGCAGGCCGTATTCCATTTCGTCATCGCTGAGCCTCAGATGTCGGAGGTCCAAGTCCAACGCTACCCGCTACAGAGCCCCCTGAGGCCTCGGACGTTTTCTCTTCACCTTCTCCTAGCAGTGGAACCAAAAGGTGAGAAAATCCCCAAAAGAGTGGTTAGTTCATGTTAGTTCATGAAGATTGCCAGCACGGAGTGTGATTCCCCATATGTTTGCTGAGATATTGCTATGGTTGATATACTAATTAGCTGATTAATATTGATTAATTCATCATTATACTACATGTGTGTTGGTTTGTTGATAAAGTCAACATCCATCAGCATTAATCGACTGGTTGGTGGTATACCTACCCCTCTGAAAAATATTTCGTCAGTTGGGATGATGACGTTCCCAATATATGGAAAAATAAAATTCATGTTCCAAACCACTAACCAAATGATAATGGATGATAATGGATGATTTGGGGCGGACCCCATGGATTCGAAACCTCCATTAATCAACATGAATCAACCAACTGCACCCAACGGTCCGGCCGCTTTCTGCAAAACCTCGGCCCCGGACGTACCAAGCGGACTCCCTTGGACCAATCCGGCCGTGGGGCGCTGATCGCATCTTTCACTGCGTTCCCGACCTGGGAAATTCCCATCAAAGAATAGAGCCACAGAGTGTGTGTATATATATATATCATATATTTAATAATGGTAATAATAATAATACTAATAATAATACAGTATATATCATTATTATTGTTACTGTTACTATGTGTTTCTATTATTATTGTGGTTATTATTACTATACTATACTGTATAATAATAATATTATTATAATTATATGCCATTATATGAAACTATCATCTATGCCCCTGATCTGGGCCATGATCCAGACCATGATCCAATGCATTTCAACAAATCGAATGTCAAATTGCTGACGCCGTGGCATAAATGCAGGTAGCCATAAACCTTGGCATCAGCCCATGTGCGGAAAGTCAGCGGGCAATGGCTCAGGCGCCGACGAGGTCGCTTGTCGGGCTAACCTGGTGTTTTTTCGCGGTGACAGCCACGAAACGGATCTAAACGAATGGCTGGAACCATGGCAAATCGCTTAGACAAACTTTAAAATATCTCCCTCATCAATGGCTAGCGGCAAAATACGAATCAAATCAAAATAAATTCCTCAATATGCCTCAATATTTTCTTCAATATTGATCTTACCCAAGCAAGGTTTACCTGAGTCAGTGAGTGATTCAGCTTCACTGAGGCAAAGACTGAAGCTCCCCAACCTAGCATCGCCATGGTTACGTGATGTTACATGGTCACCGCGGTTAGTGTGCGACAATCACTCAGCAGGAGGCCCAAAACATCAGTGGCAACATTGTAATGTAGAAGGGTACCTGCCAGGGGTTCTTTGAATGGGGGTACTCCGAAATCATCCATTTAAATATAGGATTTTCATGTATTTTCCATTAATTATAAACCATCTATTTTGGGGTACCCCCATGACTTAGGAAACCTCCAAAATGTTTCAAAGGTGATGAAACTGCATGAAATTGCCATCTTTTCTCATTCTGCTCGATCCTTGCTCCTTTCTCCCCTGCATTCCCCTACCACACTGCTTTCGCCACCACACAAAAAATCTAAAAGAACTGCTAGTACAGGAATCAAGTTACCACTTACCCAAATGAGATTGTCCCAAAACTGAAGAAAGCAAGCATAGCAATCAGGCTTCTTATGTTTCTGGGCCTTTTCTAAGTGCATAGATCAGGTTGGCCGTTGAGTGATTTCTTTTTGTTACTCATTTTCGGCTGAATTCGCTGCAATCCTCCCTCACGCTGAATTGCTCACCTTTTGGTGTGACGTGAGAGGTGAAAAATGCGTCACAAGCTACTAGCTTGGGATGGGCCCTGCTAGCTGCATGTCGGCATCGTCATGAAGTGCATATATGATGATCTCTAAAAAATGTCATGCAATACAAAATGGATAAAGAAGAAAAACCTCACACACCAAGAAATGTTTCACGTATTTTCATGTTTACCACAGCACTTCAGTGTTCAATTCTCTCTCTCTCTCTCTTATTTCGTTGGCTGGACACCATTTGGTGGCTCACTGTGCAAAAAGTGTACAACGCAAAGCGGCGTGTTGGCCCAAGTTGGCTGGTTCGAAGCTCATCTCTGCTGGTGCTTCAGCACTCCAACTTTCTGCGAAAATCCTGGTGCACTGACCATTCCGGTTGTGCCAACACGCCATCTTGCCGATCTACATTAGCCATAGAGGCAAGCCCTTGGACATCCCTGGAAGCCCTGGAAAAGCTTCAAACAAATTGACAAAGGGCGACAGAATTCGGTGGGCAGTCTGCGGAGTGCTAGCTGCACCTTTACCCACAACATCCACAAAGAAGTTGACAATTCTCAAGAGTTCAAATGTTCAAAATGTGTCGAAATATCAAATTAATTACATGAAGTATAAGTAGACATTTTCCAGCTTCAGTGCCCACCTTCGGTCACCTCACAATGTCAGTCTTTGCCAAACAAAATATAGCCTTGCCCAAGCTCGGTTTCAACGAAGGAGATTGCTTCCTAAGTCTTTGGCCATGCTCCCAGCCATCCAACCCAGCTTCGTGGAACAGCTGAGGCCCCCACTACAGCCCAATGCCAGGCAGGCCCGAGGCCGGGGACGACCTCGACGACCTGAGCCATACGGATGCATACGGGGTTTTCGGGATATCTCCTGAAATTGCCATCTTAATGGGAAGATAGAAACAGTGATATTTGGAACATTTTGGAACCATCAAATTTGGGGGGTACCTTATTTTCAGACAACCTTGTATCATTTCATGTTGCTTCAACAGAACACAGCTGGAAAAAAACAAACTCGCCTCTGTTCCTGCTTGTGAGCTGCTAGCACAAGTGCCTGCTACAGTCGGGTGACTGGACCCCATTGTTGGATAAAACATCAGGTTCAGATTGATTCACCAAACATGGAAGTGTGGCCCAGGTGAACCGCTTCTGTATCAAAGGACCATGGTTGTAGAAGCTTGGCGCTTCCAAGTCCATGTGACAGGGCCTGTTGCCGATGGGTCCATGAAAGCTCCACGCCAACGATAGATGCATGACAATGTGGCACCGTTCTAGCGCACGTCTCACAGCCCTTCTTTCTAAGTTGAGCTCGCAACGAGCCCAGCACTTGTGGCCCAGCCACAAATGGAGCACTCCAAATCCCAGGGCTAAAAATCCCCAAACCGCAGTGCCCGAGCAGAGTTTGTTGCTCTGAGTCTTCGAATACGTGGCTTTAGGGCCTGGCTTTGCCATGCCCTAGCAGAGCCAACTACTGGTACTGGCAATGGAATCTCCTGCGTTTGTAAATGATGTTCCTAAAATTCCACATCATACATCATTCATATCATTTACATCTGCATATATGTTAAATAATTTAACAAGTAATTAGTAGCAATTTAAAACATATATATATATGATTATATAATACTATATATGCGTAACATATAGTCGAAAGAAGTTTAGACGTCAAACTTCCGACAATGGACAGATGAAAAGCAGAGATGGGAAGAGTCAGAGAGAAGAGAAGAGTAGAAGAGAGAAGATCAGAGAAGAGAAAGAGTCAGAAGAAAGAAGATCCAGGTGCGCGAAAAGGTGGGAAAGTTGCAAAACCCTGTGTTTTTCCAATGATTTGTGGCTCCAGACGGTCGAAAAGTAGGCTCGCTAAAGCGGCGGTTGCGGAGCCCTCTGGGCAGATGAGAGATGAAAAATTGCATGCCGTTGTGGCGCGAAACACATGTCGAAGTCAAAATGCACAAAACACACCAGGTCCGGACCACTTTTGGAAGTTGCGATGTCGAAAAAATGCACGCCGTTGAAAAGCTAAAACCACCTCACGTTCGGAGCACTTTTCGAAGTTGCGATGTCGAAAAAGTGTACGCCGTTGTTGCGCGAAGCATTTCGAAGTCAAAATGTACAAAACACACCACGCTCGGACCACTTTTGGAAGTTCAGATGTCGAAAAAGTGCACGCCGTTGTGGCGCGAAGCACATTTCGAGTCAAAAGTGCAAAAAAAATGAGAGGTTCGGAGCACTTTTGGACGTTCAGATGTCGTTTTGCGTGGCAGTCGCAAGGGAATGTGCACGTTGTGAAAAATTAGGAAAATGTGAGGGTTTTGTAGAAAACGATGGCAGGCGTGGGACATTTGAAGCATTTTCCGTGGCAGGCGCAGTACAAGAGACATGTTCATCAGACGTCCGGGCGCTGATTTCCTGAGAAGGCTTGCATTTTGGAGCATCAGATCTTCAGGTTTGCTGAGATGATTTTGTGACAGGTGCAACACTTCGTATGACCTGGAAGCACTTTTTCGTGGCAGGCGCAGTACTTTAGACAGGTGGAGTGAAAAAATCGCAAAACGCATTGGTACGAGGCCGTCAGCTCTGCACTCAACTTTCCATTTTTGAAGGACGCCTCGCAGAATTCTTTCGTTTTTGATGTTGTCAAGTTCAAAAATTGAGGAAGTCTCGCTGACTTGCTGTGTTTTTGACGTTGTCAAGTTCAAAAACTGAGGAAGTCTCGCAGAATAGCTTTGTTTTCAAGCTTGCAGATAGATAGATAGATAGATAGATAGATAGAAAAGGATAGATAGATAGAAAAGGATAGATAGAAAAGGATAGATAGAAAAGGATAGATAGAAAAGGATAGATAGAAAAGGATAGATAGAAAAGGATAGATAGAAAAGGATGGATAGATAGATAGATAGATAGATAGACAACTACAACTGCAACTACAACTACAAGTACCAGTACACTACACTACTATTACAACTACAAGTACAAATATACGTTGCTACATACACAACACTAATTACACTACACTACGCTAATTACATCTAATTACACTACACTACACTAATTACACTACAACTACTGCAACAGCCACTACTGCTACTGCTACTGCTACTGCTACTACTACTGCTACTACTACTGCTACTACTACTACTACTACTACTACTTCCACCACCACCACCACAGCTACAACTACAATTACGGCTACACTACATTACACTACAATACACTAAGTGAACTGGAGTACATTACAGCTACAAACACAGCTACAACTACACCACATTACACAACACAGCGCTACATTAATTACATTACATTACACTACAACTGCAACTACCACTACATTGCACTACACGACACTACACTACAACTACAACTACAGTACTTTACACTACAATACACTAGGCTACACTACACTATACCACGCCTCAGTACACAACACTACAGTACACTACAATACACTACACTAATTACACCACACCACAACTACAACTGCAGCTGCAACTACACTACACTAATTACACCACATTACAACTACAACTTAAAAATACAACTCCACTACACTACAGCTACAACTACACCTACAACTACAACTGCGCTACACCACACTACATCCAGCAGTTGTGGTGAGGTGACCACTGCAACCATTGCAGCCACTCCAGAAAACACAACTCCAACCACCTGTCGGTCCATCAGTGGATTCGCTCTGCCATCCGTGATTCACAACAACCAATCTCTCCTGTAGGTTTCCTATTTTTGAAACTTCCGCCACCGCCTTGTGCGGTACTACTGGAAAATATGTATGAATATGTTAAACACATGTGGAACTGTAATTTCCATTGCCAAGTTTTGAACTAATATCGTAGCTATGTGGCCTCAGAAAACATCAGCTGTGTAGCCGCGTCTTCGTCCCCGTCGGAATGACTCTGGTACTGCACAGGGGCAATGCCAAGAGTGATGTTCTGAGATGTGCTGAACCTATGGCTTTCAATTTTGAACAATCAATATTGACCATATCGTAGAGGATACTAGCTGAAGCAATCCATCGCTTTTTTATTGCCAACATTGCCACTTGAAATTATCAACTTCATACAAATGTTCATTCTGTGAATCTTCACTTTCACAGAATTTTACACCCTTTTCCCACTTGGCGCCTATCTCCAAACTGGTTTGAGCTCTCCCTCTCTCAGCCCAGCGCTGGCGCGCCGGATTCTCTGGCTTCTCTTCGCTGGCACTTTGCTCGGAACCCTCGAGGCCTGTCAGGGGACATTCATGAAAACAGGGCTAGGGAGTGCTATCAATTACCCTCTGGTAAACTAACAGTTCACTATGGAAAATCACCATTTTGATAGTCCATGTTCCATAGCTATGTTAGTTTACCATAGTTTACCAGAGGGTAATTGATTGACCTTGCACTCTACAATATATCTGGCATTCTATCTGACATGCCATTCATGGCATTCTTTTTGGCCATTGACCTGGCCTGCACCATCGCCACTGTCCTGCCGGATGCCACAACCCCTTCAACACCAGCAAGCCCCAGAGGTGCCATGGTCAAAACATGGAAAATATGCAGTACATCTATCCCATATTGGGATCCTTCTAATGATTCTAATGCATATATGATTCCTATCAACGGATTGATGATCATCTCCTTTAATGGGAATATCAAGCATTCTTTAACCATGGCACATCTCATTTCAAGAGTGTTCAAGATATGTCGAGCAATCTCAGTGGAAACAACGAACCTAAACCAGACTCCTGTACACCCTATCTGAATAAAGTCTCATGTTATGTACAGTAATCATTCATCAGCCTGAAACGTTCAGCTGTTTTGGCTAAACGTTTCCCCCATCCAATTCCTAATCGCTTCTTGAGGTGAACCATAATCATATATGGTTGGTTGTATGTTCCCATATATACTTAGTACATCCCCATCAACACCCCAGAAAATATTTACATTCTTCATGCAAAACCATCATTTTGACAATGAAATAAGTGACATGGAATTTGCTTCTCCTGCATGTTTTCAAAGACCTCTGCATTGTAGTCACTTCTGGATCTTCTTCTCGTTGGTTTTTCCACGCATTCGGTGTCAGTTCCAGATTCATCGCCCAGCGTTCCGTCAGCCACGGAATCTTGATCCGAATCCTTGAATGTGCTTGAAATGGCACCCAATGCACACACAAAAAAAAAATAACTTCAAAAAATTCAGTAAATTCCCCAATCATGGTGGATTTCCGGTGGAAAAAAACAAAAAACAAAAAGGGCTCAGCAAACTCAGCAAATTCAAGAATCATAAGGACCATTGGAGTCGCCATCACCCAATCTCCGGCATTCTTGGAGCCACCTATGTCTCCTCTGATTCTGCTTCACTCGTTCGACTTCCGAGACCCTTCGGCCTACGGAAAATTCACCACAGCCCATTACAATGCTGTAGCGGTAGCCGAAGTTCACGTTTTTCTTGTGCTTATGGAATTCCAACTCCTCTGCATCTTTCCTTGGCAACCATGGGTTTTCATGGGTGTTCCATGGTTTTCCATATCTACAGTATGTTGATTTGCCCGGGAAGGGTAGTACCTCGGGTCACAGGTCCCAGTGCTGTTCAGTGGCTCTCTCTCTCCCCGTTCTGCGAGTTCAGGTGCTGAAGAAACACGTTGTACCTCTGGCTCGTCTGTGC